CACATGGTCCTCCAAGGCCCTCGCCGAGTGGACGCATTCAGCGTAGTCCGTAGAAGCCCCTGCCAAAAAACGCCCTGCTTGCCTCCAGGGTGCACTCGTTTTCTTGGGCTTCGATCTGCTATGGAGGGCGTGACGTTCCCACACCAAAAGTCAATGGCCGTCCTGGGGTCTCAGGATTGGGTTTCTTGTGGGAGGCTTCTTGTGGTCGAGCTCCTGCTGTGGGCCGGCGAGTGCCCAGGGTGCACGCTCATCATTGTTCTACGTCTGTGTTGGCGTCTTTGTCAACACGCGTGTTGCAGGTTGCGCCCTGGCTCACACATTGCCCTTTGCACACGCGTTGGCACCGCTGTCTCTGCTTCGCGCTGTGCCTGGCTCGTGGCGCGAGCGGCACGCGCACGCGCCCCAGGGCCAACGCCGAAGCGCGTGGATATCTTGCGGAGGGGGAAAAAAACAGCAACGGGGAGCGCCGCGGGGGGTGCTACGGGGATACGGTCAAACGACGCGAAGATCGGGACAACATCGGATCGGGATAACTCGAAATCTCTGAGAATCGGCGGGTTTGGAGGATGTATTGGGCGCTGCGGCCGCTCCAGAGCGTTCCGGAACGCTCTGAGAGCGCTCCGGAACGCTCTCGAGCGATTTATCCCGATCCTAGCCCTGTTTTATACGGGGGGTCCCAGTGGATACCAGGGTGGGTCACAACGGGCATAGCCTTGGTGATTTTCGGGGAAACGTAAGACTCGAGCAAGCCGGAACTCGGGTTTGCCGACGTTTTTGTTGGCGAGCGCGTCCTGGATTTTGACGGTCCAGTTTTCGTGGGGTGTTTGCAGCGGGATCTTGCGTCAAATTTCACATCGGTTCTCGTCATTTCTATGATGACCCTGTCAGGCCAATCCGAGTCCCCCGTACCCGAGTCTTACGTCTCCCCGATATTAAAGGGTTACAGATGCCCCAGCTGGTTTAGGGGTTTGGTAATTAACCAAGATCGATCACCCCCCGAGGCCATTTGGGGCATGTGTAACCCATGCTTAACAAAGATAAGGCCAGATATTCACCACTGTGGCATCCACTGATGACCCCCATTCTCTGCTTAGCACCCCCCCGCGCCGATCCCAGTTGGCAAGCACGTGTCTCGTTCTGGCCTCGACGGATACGTCTGGAGGTCACTCTCTGGGGCTACCGTGCCAGGTCCAAGGGCTTCTGGCCGTTGGCCCGGTCTCCTGTGTGGCAATTATTCGGGGATGGAGAGAACCCCCACCCTGACACGTCGATTAGTGAATTGTCCGATTTCGGTTCTCGAGAGGGCGCCGTAGACGTCCTTTTCCAGGATTTCGCCCGCCAGATTTGGGCCCGAGAACGTTTTTACTAGACCACGTTTTGCTAAAGGGGGTTCTGTCCATCCCCGAATTATCCAAACCGGTTCTCGCTCAAACGAATGGCTCGAACAGCTGTCCTGGAGAGGTTTGTTTGGGGGTCGGCCAGGCCTCAGCTGTCTCCGAGACTCTGGGACGCAATTTCTCGGAGGTTAGACTCTGCATCGGCGCTGTTTTCTTCGAGACCGATCACCGGCTTAGTTCTGGCTAAGTCTGGCTTAATCTCGAGCGGTCCAGCCTACTCCGGCTTGATCGAAGGATTACAAAACAACCCAGGATTGCAAAAAGGAAGAAGTTTTTTGCAATCTTTGGGTTTTTTTGCAATTCAGGGTTTTTTTTTGCAATCCTGGGTTTTTGTTGCAATCCTTCTGCCTACAATCCCGGGCTGAATCTGGCCTGAGTTGCAGTGGCCCGCTGAATCGGCCTGGATCGCCCTGGGTCGTTCCAGCGACGGCCTCCCAGGAGTTGCCTCCTGAGATGCCCTGGGGTGTCCGTGGCTGTTCTCCTCCCCCTCCCCTCCCCTCCCCCGCGCGCAAGGTCTGTCCCGATGCTCGTGTTTGAGTCGGGCATGTCCTCCACAGGAGGGAGACTCAAACATTGTAACAAGATTGTCTGGGGACGATTGCTTGACTATTCTTCACTGTCTTTGATAATTGTCAGATTATTTTTGATTTTTTCCCCGAAAGGGCGTAGGCCCAGGGTTCTCTTTTAGAGGTTCTCCCCCGGACCTGACTTGAGGGGGGCTGGCGGAATTATTCCCTGATAAATATCGAGGTCGAGGTGGGCTGGCGGAATTAATTGAGAGGATGTCTCGAGCGAAACGCTTGTTTTTCAGAATTTGTTGAGGATGTCTTAAGCGAAACGCTGGTTTTGCAGAGTTGGGGATGTCTCGAGCGAAACGATTGTTTTCAGAGTTTGTTGAGGATTTCTCGAGCGAAACGCAGGAATTCCGAGGATGTCTCGCGCGTGCCGCGTCCCGCGCGCAGGAATTTCGAGGATGTCTCGACTACTTCGTTTGTTTTTCGATGATTCCCTGGACTTTTGGCAGGATATCTCGAGCGAAATGTTTGTTGTTCCATGATTGGTTGAGGATGTTTCGAGCGAAACGCTGGTTTTGCAAAACTTTCATAATTTGTTGAGGATGTCTCGAGCGAAACACTGGTTTTGCAAACTTGGGGGATGTCTCGAGCGGGGGCCTCGTGGTGGGCCAGAATTCAGAGGATTTCTCAGGCAAAATGCTTGTTTTCACGTCCCGCTCGCAGGAATTCTGAGGATGTCTCGCGCGTGCCGCGTCCCGCGCGGAATTTCGAGGATGTCTCGACTAATTCGTTTGTCTGGCCAGGATTTCCTTGGATTTTGACAGGATGTCTCGAGCGAAACACTTTTCCCCAGCACGTTCCGTAGCGCGTCCCCTTGGCACGTCCCGCGGTGCGTCCCCATGGCACGTCCCTTGGCACGTCGCTTGGCGGGTCCCTTGAGACGTTCCGCGGCGCGCCTGTCAATTAGCTCTGGGGCAGCTACTCTGTGTTCAGGCAGCTCCAGCTTAAGATCGAGATCAGTTCGGTCAGGACTCGGATGCAAAGGAGGACTCGATCCACGAGGCTATAGAGCACAATTGCGGCATGGCGCATCGCAATTCAGCACGGCGCAGCACAGCACATATTTCGGCATGGTACATCAAGATCGATATACTCAGCATTGCAACTTGGCACGTTCCTTGGCACGTTCCGTGGCGCGTCCCTTGGCGAGTCTCCCTGGCACGTCGCGTGGCGCGTCCCCTGGCACATCCCGTGGCACATCCATTGGCACGTTCCGTAGCGCGTCCCCTTGGCACGTCCCGCGGTGCGACCCCATGGCATGTCCCCTGGCACGTCGCCTGGCGCATCCCTTGGGACGTTTCGCGGCGCGTCCTCCTGACATGCTCCCCTGTCCATCAGCTCTGGGGCAGCTACTATGTGTTCAGGCAGCTCGAGCTTAAGATCGAGATCAGTTCGGTCAGGACTCGGATGCAAAGGAGAACTCGATCCAAGACGCTATAGAGCACAATCGCGGCATGGCACATCGCAATTCAGCACGGTGCAGCACAGCACAGCCCTCCGCAGGGTACATCAAGATCGATACACTCAGCATTGCATTTGCCCGTCACCCAATCAGGTGTCTTTGAAAACGCTGCCATGTGTTACAGTTCTATAGTCCTTTCCGGGTTCGTGGGTCGATCATGTCTTCCAAAGTCCTCCTGTAGGAGGACGCGCCCGATCTGATGCTCGTGTCGGACGACCCCAGACCCCCGACGTCGTGATTTTTGTCATAACGTTGACCCCCAGAGGTCTCGACCCATTCCTCGGGAGACCGGTTGTTCATCCAGAGTAGTGTTTGACGGTCCCGAGGCCCGGTGAGGGCCTCCGGAGGCCGAAAACATATAAGAACAACCTCCCGCTATGGTCTTTTCGCAATGCGATGGGGTCTGGGGACGGGAATCTAGGGAAGGTTACGTTGCATCTTCGGGGGACCTCGCCTGTCCCCAACATTGGTGTCTTTTCTTGTGCCCGACGCATACTTGATGCGGACTCGACGCGGACTTGGCATGGATTCGACGCGGATTCGACACGGATCCGACACGGATCCGACGCGTCCGACATGGATTCGACACGGATTCGACGCGGATAGGACAGCGACGGGACAGACAAGGTCCCCCGAGGATGCAACATAAGGAAGCGGAGGAGGAGGAGGAGGAGGAGGAGGAGGAGGAGGAGGAGGAGGAGGGAGGAGGAGGAGGAGGGGGAGGAGAGAGGAGCAGGAAGGAGGAGAGGAGGAGGAGGGGGAGGAGGAGGATGAGCAGGGAGGAGGGGGGGGAGGAGGGGAGCAGTGAGGAGGGGAGGAGGAGGAGGGGGAGGAGGAGGAGGAGGAGGAGGAGGGGTGGGGCGTAACTTGATGCGTGCCGCTGGCTTCGGCCTCGCCGCCGGGCGCCCTCCTCGATGCCTAGGGGGCGCTTCGGGCGCCCCTGGGGGTCCATTGGGGGAAGCCAGCTATACGTGAGCTGAGTCGCTGCCCCCCCCCCGCCCCTCACACCCTCCTCCTCCTTCCTCCTCCTCCTCCTCCTCCTCCTCCTCCTCCTCCTCCTCCTCCGCATCCTCCTCCTCCTCCTCACCTCCTCTGGTTGACCCGAAAGGTGGTCCAGCGAATAGAGGGTGGTGCAATAGATCTGGTGCAATCGATTTCGGTGCGCAAGTGTGTTGCTGGATTTTCTCGCGTGCGACACATCAGCTGCAGTACAACGCAATACAGTTCTTTGGCGCAGTGCATTTTGCAATACGCTTGCCCCAAACCTGTTGCACCACCCCCTTTCAGCTGGACCCCCTTCTGGGTCAACCAAATTACCCCCCCCCCCCCTTCCGTCCCATCCGATGTGCCCGCTGGAGTCAGGAGCGAAAGAAGGACGTACATGTACATGAATCCACGCTGGTTTCGAGAGTACGCATTGCGCAACTGTTCGTATAACGCGGTTGGTCTCGCGGATCGAGGGGCCGTGTTGATGCACATAGCTGGGCGCGCACGTCCTCTGTGGGCTCCCTATCGAGGGTCGATTCGGCCGCGCGGCGGCTCCGAGCGGAGGGCCACGCGCGCCAGGTACGTGGTCAGCTCCCTCGCGTCCGAGGAGCGGGTGCCGCGGGGCGGCGCGGGGTTGCCTGCCAGGGAGGCACGGTGCAGCGTCTGGTCGCGCATGTGGCCAGCAGGAGGAGGAGGAAGAGGAGGAGGAGGAGGAGGAGGAGGAGGAGGAGGCGGAGGCCTGCAGGAGGAGGAGGAGGAGGAGGAGGAGGAGGAGGAGGAGGACATGGACAGACTGGTGGCGTGGCCAGGAGGTGTTGTGGCACGCCCAGCCATGGGGAGCTGGTGCACACCTCTTCACGGACATGCGGAGGAGGATGTCTCAAGCCGAGGGCCGTATATTCACAGGGCTCGCCGTGCATCCGTGTAGCTGCTGCTGAGTGCTCAGCTTCTGGTCGTAAAGGTCAGGCTGGGGTCTCAAGCGAGAGCCAGCGGCGACGAGGCGAGAGCTATTCGTTACGCGTGCATTTGGTGGACGATTCGCCGTCCACCTCTGAAAAAGACACAGGCTCGCGGTGCTACGGCGAGATTGACAGGACAACGGTGCGCCCTGCATCAGTGCAGCCCTTGGGAGCTGTTAGCACGATCGTGGGCGGGGCTTGGGCCCGAGCCACATCTGAGAATCCCCCGCCTGCCAGTCATGCAACTGTTGAAATCATCGGACCCCCGTGCAATCCACGGTCAGAGACCTGAGGTCTAACGCCCAGACCGCCCTCACAGCCCGTCTGGCAGTGCGACGAGGATAAGTTGCCGATCGGAAGAAAGGATCGATTGCTGAGACACTTTAAGGGCGTGGTTGCTCAACGCTGCCTAAAAGGGAGCCCAAAGGATTGCGTCTGCGCTTGCTTGCGCGATCTCCGACACCTCCCGCTCTGGCCAGAGGTGTTCCCTTGGCGGGCTAGTGTCGTTGGAGCCTTGCTTGGGCGAACCCTCTAACTCCAAGCTGGAATGGAGATGTGAACTGCATTTGCGGTGTTGACTTCGATCTCAGATCATGGGCGTTGTTTCAGTTTGCATAGCTGGATATGCGTGTGTGATTAGATATGTATATGCGTAGTTGCGTACGAGGATCGAAGGATCGAGGATCGAAGGAGTTACACATTCTTTTTCGGCGGATGGCGGTGGAAAGGCGACGGGAGGTCGGCGGAAGTAAAACGATGCCACTTCCGCCGGATGTTTGTTTGTATGTGTGTATGTGTACACGTGTATGTGCATACGTATATACATATCGATGGATGTGTACATTCCTATGTCTGTATATAGGGGTGTGTGTGTGTGTACGAATGTATGTGCGTATGTATGTATGTGCGCATGTATGTATGACTGGATGCATGCATGCATCCATGCATGCATGCTTGTTGTATGCACATGCGTGTATGTATGTTTGTATGCATGTGCGCATGCATGTCTGTGTGTACGTGTATGTACGCATGTATGTATGTATGTTGTATGCATGCATGCATGTATGTATGCATGTGTGTATGTGTATGCGCATGTGTATGTGAATGTGTATGTGCATATGTTATTACGTGTGTATATATATATACATATCTATATATTTCTATATACATATACCGGGGGACGTGAACGGGGGGGGGGTCCCGCCTAGGGACCTCGGCAGGGTATGGGGGGCCCAGGGCCTTACTTCCCTTATTTTCTTTTGTTTTTGAATGTTTCGGCCACCTGGAGCCACCAGAGCCCTGGGGGACGTGGCCGGGGGGTCCCGCCCAGGGACCTCGGCGGGGTATGGCCCGGGCCTCACTTTCCCTTTGTTGTTCACACGGGTTCGGCCGCCCAGAGCCACCAGAGCCCCGGACGCGGCCGGAGGGGTCCCGGACAGGGACCTCGGCGGGGCATGGGAGGCCGGGGGCCTTATTTTCTTTGTGTCTGTGAAAAGGTTTCGGCTGCCCGGAGCCACCAGAGCCCCGGGGGACGTGGCCCGGGGGGGGGTACGCCCAGGGACCTCGGCGGCGCGTTGAGGGCCCGGGGCCTTACTTCCCCTGACCTTCCAGAGAGCTATTTTTTAGCACTGGAGACCTAAAAACCTAAAAAACTAAACGAAACAGCCTAAAACTAAGACGTAGAATAGCTCTGGGATAGGTTTTTAGGTCGGGTGCTATTTTTTAGCCCTCCTGGAAGGTCAGGGCAGGGACCTCGGCGGCGCGTTGAGGGCCCGGGGCCTTACTTCCCTTGTGTTTTTACAAGGTTTCGGCGGCCCGGAGCCACCAGAGCCCCAAGAGGTTGCAGGGAGCTCCAGGGGCTGCTCTCGCCCGGTGCCCCAGGCCTCCCACAGGCCTCCTGGAGGTCTCCAGGAGAGCTCCCCAAAGCTCACACACTTGCTTTTCCCATAATTCTTTTCCACGTTCCTCCCCATGCAGCCTGTTCTGCATCCCCACGCTGCGCGGCAGCCCCAGGCACTTTTCCGCAGAGGCCGCCAAGACGGCCTCCGGGAACCCCCACGACGGCCCAAGAGTCCCTCAAGAGGATTCCCGAAAGCACCTCCAGAAGCAACAATTGCCCCATTTCCGCCGGAAAACGTGCGTTTGTACAATGTTCACCGCTTCGACGTCGACCGCGTCGAAGACGGCCCCAGGAGCCGACAAAAGACGGCGAAAGAGAGTTCCAAGAGGCCTCCAAGACAGCTTAAGTGGGGCCCTCGACTGTCCAGGAGGCCCCCAAGACTGTCCCCAAAGGCCCCGGGGGTCCTCTGGGGCCCCCCCCGGGGCGGATCCACACAGCCCCGAAACGCCACCCGAGAGTCCCAGGAGGTCTCCAAACGTCCGCGAGGGCCCAGAATCCCCAAATTGTCGATCCAACACGCCGACGATGGCTCCAAGACGGCCTCCGGGAGCCCCCGCGACGGCCCAAGAGTCCCCCAAGAAGATATCGCCCTAAGACGGCCAAAGAGAGTTCCAAGAGGCCTCCAAGACGGCTCAAGAGGGGCCCTCGACCGTCCAGGGGGCCCCCAAGACGGTCCCAGAGGGCCCTGGGACAGCTTCCCCACACAGCCCCGAGTGGTACCCCACCCGACATTTCGAGCCATCCTCCCCAAAAAGCACCCCGGGGACCCCAAGAAACCTTCAAGAGCCCCCGAAACAAAAACCCAAGCGGGCCCCACGGGGACGCCAGGAGGCCCAAAGAGGCTCCCAAGAGCCCTCTCCCCAGACGCCCTGAGGTACTCTGGGCGATCCCGAAGCTTCCGGACAACTCTCGGCATCCTGACGCCCCCAACGGGCCCCGGGACCGTCAAACATTTAGGACGAAACTCTGGGAATATGGAAATTGTCCGGACCTCGGGGCCACTCCAGGGGTCGTCGACGTCGTCGTCGTCGTGGTGGTGGCGGTCGTCGTCGTCGTCGTCGTGATCGTCGTCGTCGTCGTCGTCATCGTCGTCGTCGTCTTCGTCGTCACTCGTCGCCGCCCCTGTCGTCGTCGACGTCGTCGTCGTCGATGATCACACGAGCGAAAACGAGAGCAGCGAAACGTGGCGCAGCCGTCTGTCCTTCGGTCGAGGATGGCTCCAAGAAGGCTTCGGAGAAGCCGAGGAACGTTTGAAGATGCCCTCAGAGGGACCCGACCGTAGAGGACCTCTTCTTGGGATTCGAGTGCCCACATAGGGTCGTCGTGCTTTACTGTGATGTGCTTTGCATGCCTGGCCATGCATGTGAGCTGGTTTCGTTGTCCCTGCAATGTGTTGCATCAGTTTGCATTCTGTCGTTTTGCCGTTGCATTTGTCTTCCATCGCAACGCCTTGAATTCCACTGCCGTCCAGTGGCCTCCAAGACCGCCCCTGGACAGCCCCAGAGGAACCCGCGATGGCCCCACTGCCGCCACAGGGCGTCCGAAGAGGCCCCTAAGACGGCCCGAGCAGCCCTCGAGATGTACCAAGAGGATCCAAGAGGGGCCCAAGGGGGGGGGGGTCCAGGAGCCCTGTCGCTCAAGACGGCCCATACACCCTCAATATGCCCTCAAGAAGGCCCCCAGCAGCAGGCCCCCGATGCTCCCACGAGGCCCCCGGAGGCCGACAAGAGGCCCCCAAGGGCGCCCAAGAGGCCCCCATGATTTCCCCGAGATCGTCCCCGCCCTCAACAGAGCTTCAGAACCTTCGGCGTGTAACGTGTTGGCCCGCAGATCCTCTTCATTCGGACACGGCCCCTCTACCCGATGAGCGCCGGACTCCAAGATAGGTGGAATTCGGGCGCGCACGAAGCGCGCGCGATGGTAGCAGTACGTATATAGGCTCGATCGCTAGATTGCTGTTGAGGCCAGCTGTTAGATATCATCGGCCAGTACTCATGTATAGATGTCTAAGCATGTGTTGGCCATCGTGGAACCCAGACAGTGCGTTTCTAGCAACATGTGTTGCGTAGTCCAAGTGGAGCAACCTATGTTGTGCAGTCCGCATGGAGCAGCCTATGTGATGGAATCTACGCTGTGCATCCTGCGTGATGCAATCTATCTGGTGCAATCTATGTAATGCCATCTATGTGGTGCAATATGTGTGGTACAAGCGATGTGGAACCTTATATGTGGTGCAGTCGGCGGCGACGGCGAGAACGTAGCCGCCAGACCGCCGCCCAGGCCCACGTGGTGGCGACGGGGCGTCGACGGCGACAACGTAGCTGCCAGACCGAAACACAGGCCCAGACGACGGGCGGCGACGAGGTGGCGACGGGGCAGCGACGGCGCAACATAGCCGCCAGACAGCCACAAAGGCCCACACGACGGGCGGCGACGAGGCGGCGACGGGGCGGCGACGGCGACACCATCAAGCACTAGAAACCAATACAGCGCAATGCTAAGCAATGCAGTGCGATGCGACGTCATGCAGGCCCAACGCAAAGCTGTGCAGCACAGTGGCGCAGTGCATCGCAGTGCAGAGCAGTGCCAGGCATCGAAATGCAAACGCGACGCAGCGCAGAGCAAGGCAGGTCGATGCGACTGCACTGCACTGCAGCTGCAAAGCCGTGCGATTTTGCAGCGCGGTGCGATGCGATTGCAATGGCAGCGCGCTGCGACTGCAGCGCCAATGCGGCTGCAGTGCAGCCC